TTACATTGTTTAATTTACTATTTACATTAGTTTATTTAATTGTTAACGGTTAAATAATTTATTATTGTGCTGTTAAAATGTATACTGTATTACTATTTTTGATGATTGGTTTTAAGTTGAGAGAGAGAGAGAGAGAGTATGCTGGTTAAACAATGAGTGACACACCCACCATGATCAATTTTCTGTCCACTTTGCGCTTAATGGACCCATCGGTGTCGCCCACGGACTGCACTTTCGGCACATTATTATTACTATTGCTTTTCATTAATCGCTTTAAAAACGACATTTATATACACTTATAATCACAACATTTAATTAATATTACTTAAAAATATAATTTTACTTTTACTGATTATCATCGCACTTGCATTATCGCACAATTATGCAATTATTATCATAACATGGTCAATAACCACGGTATAAGCGCATACATTATCAGCTAGGCCATAATTGCGACATTAGCTGCTGGACAAACAAACTTAAAATATTATCAACCACGATATTATTAAGGCCAAAAAATTAATTGCCAAAAAAACTTTTAACTAGTGTTCAATGCTATCCATTAATTACATAACAGATAGATATATCAACACATGTTTTGACGTTTGCATCGCAAACAGACAAACACAACGACAACTGTGTATAGACTGTACTGTAATGTAGTGTTTGTTATCATTCAATGGGACACTCAATACACGCACTCATCGCTCGACTCGTCTTGAGTTTGCATTTTTAAGTAAGCGTTAAGTGTTTTACAGGCGATGAATGACTTAAAAAATAAATGTGCAAAACATATCATACTAGTCAACAAGAATGTGCATGTATAATATTATATAACACAGTCTACTCATGTCGCTAACTATACTGTATGTAAAAATATACACACTCGCTGTGTTTACCTCGATGTTTACCCCTATATTGCACTATTTGTCACGTGAGTAGCGTAGGCGGTATACATATATTGTTAAGTGCACATATTCCCTGGAAATTCCTTGTTAATTTAGTATGAATTAATATACATTAGAATTCAATAAATATAATTAGCATGGTAAATTGCACCGCTATTACGATAAAATTATTTTTAGTTATCTAACAAATATTGTTTAAATAATCTTGCCAATTCTTTGAAATATTTTAATATTCCCGGGACTATATAAAATATTGTTAATTTTTGTGTATTTTATGACATCATGTTATTAGACATAAGTAACGTTCTGTACTATTGCCACCCATAGTGTAATTCTCGATAGATATTAACTATACAGTAACTTAAATAATAATTTACTGTATAGTTAATATCTATAGTAAAATAAGTTAAAATCTAATTAGATTGTTAATACATACCGACTTGTAGTTATCAGCTATCATTATTGATTACTTATTAATGATTAAAATATTCGGTATAGTATTAAACATGAGCTAACAAAATTGCATATATTGTGTAGAAAGGTAAAATATATATGCTACAATAATCAATAACTATTTTGTAAAAGTAGTAAATTATGTTTATTCACAAATAAATTCGATCATGTTTGACGTAATCTGGCCAACATTAATATGACATCACAATATTTCCTAGAAATCAAAATAACCACACAATACATGTACCACAGAATGGGTACAGAATATTGCAGAATATTCTGTGATTAGCTGTTGTGACACATATTTATACGCAGAATAACGATAAGAAATACTGTATATCGATATTCTTCAAAGTGTTGATGAATTCATAGCTATTTATAGCGATATGTATTGTGTAGACACAAACCCACATATTTTGTGTGAACAGCATATCATAAACCGATCTATAAATACATTTTTACGCTCAATATTATGTGAAAATATATGATACAAATATACATACATTACTGTCAACGACACCAATAGTCCCGCAATTCTTGCCTAGTTTTATACGTGTGAACACATCGCGTGATATTTATCATGTTTAGTGTGAAGCACTTTTCATTTAATTGCTTATTATTGTTATTATAAATAGCATAAGAAATAAATACAATTTTCATTATAATTGCTACAAATGTGAAAATTGCTATAAGAATTGATATAATTTACATTGTTTAATTTACTATTTACATTAGTTTATTTAATTGTTAACGGTTAAATAATTTATTATTGTGCTGTTAAAATGTATATTACTATTTTTGATGATTGGTTTTAAGTTGAGAGAGAGAGAGAATTACATTGTTTAATTTACTATTTACATTAGTTTATTTAATTGTTAACGGTTAAATAATTTATTATTGTGCTGTTGAAATGTATATTACTATTTTTGATGATTGGTTTTAAGTTGAGAGAGAGAGAGAAAATATTTGTATATTAACTATTAAAATTGAATAAGTCATTCATGTATTATTTAATTATTAAGAATAAATAAAATAAGCACCATCAAACACTTTTTTGTTTATTTAAATAACTGATTTAAACAATTAATTTAATATACATTATTAAAACATTAAAAATAGTATATTTAAAATATGCTTGATAATAAAACAAAAATCAGCACAGCACATCTTCTATTGAATATGAAGAAGGCTTTTGATAATATTGATAAAATTGTTCATGATCGGTCCAAACATTGGTATTTGATTCAATATGGTTTGAAATGTTGTCAAAAGATCTGGTATAAGTGCCCGCGCGGTCAGCACAGAGGATACCGGGGCTGACACGACCGCCGTTGCCATCATTGCCACCGACGCCACGATTAATACATAATTTACATTCATTATTGAATCACAAGATATTCTTTATTATATAATTACAACAGTATAAATGATTTTAAGTAATTTACAATAAACCAGTTAAGTGTCAGTTTTAGTAAAAATTTATCTACAACTTATTAGTTATAGTAAATTAATATTTTCAGCTTAAATGTTTTCAAGCTAGTTTTGATTGATGTACCAGGTGAGTTTAGCAGATTTACTTTTGAAAAACATTGTAATTACAATATTACCATGAAATTCCTTATTCCTAACGTATGATATTTTTTTTGGCACTTTTTACTAAAAAATATGTGTATAATTTTGCGGTCAGTTACTACAATAGTTAATAGTAATGAATTTAAAATAAATTAATTTAATATTAACTATTTTATCCTGGACATCTATATAGACAGTAAATGATAAAATATTTTTGAAACGTTGGCAATTCATTTAATTCTGGGCAATCTATCTCATTCATGGATATCTAGCAGTTATGAATTATAATATAATAATAATCTAAGACGACAAACCATTCAATTAATTACTATTAATTTAAATAATATCACTAAATACGCAAACTTATAATTAAATTAATATATCAAAAGTAAACATTAAAATACTTTATTTATATTAAATGAGTACATATTACAAATATTATCTACACAATAGATTTGAGAAGTTTTCTGAGAAGGTCAATAACACTGTTAAGTATGGGTTCGAGTCCGGGTATCTTGGCCAAAATGGCTTCCACTGAATCCAAGAGGTCGGGTACGAGTGCCCGCATTGTCAGCGAAGGTAGTCCTGGCGCTGACACAGAAGGTCAATAACACTGTTAAGTATGGGTTCGAGTCCGGGTATCTTGGCCAAAATGGCTTCCACTGAATCCAAGAGGTCGGGTACGAGTGCCCGCATTGTCAGCGAAGGTAGTCCTGGCGCTGACACCACCGCCGTAGCCATTATTGCCATCAAAACGCCGATCAGTATATGTTTTGCATTCATTGTCTCACAAAATATTTTGCTATTATTAACAATAAATGAATAATTTTCAGGTAATTGTATTTCTTTATGCAGATATTTTTTTAATACTTTTAATTTATATTGTAAAGTTTATGCTAATTGCTTGCCTTAAAGTTATTTTATTAATTATTTTATTATCATACAATTGGCGTAACTATTTCTACATTATACAGTAAGTATTGGTTTGATTGATGTACGAGGTGAGATAGTTATATAAAAGTTTAATTTTTAATTTTTAATCGTTTAAATAAATTTAAAGGTAACAAATTTTAAGTTTTAATAAATTGTTGATCTATAATTAGTTATGGTATTACTATTTTAAATATATTCTCTCTCTCTCTCTCTCTCTCTCTCTCTCTCTCTCTCTCTCTCTCTCNATTTTTTAAACCATTTATTATAATACAAAACAAAATAAAAGAAATCTCTTATTTAAATGATTTCTTTCGTATTTGTAAATGTTATTCAAATAGATCTCTCTCTCTCTCTCTCTCAATCTAATTATTTTCTATATTAAAATTTAAAAAATAAGATTAATAAAAACAAAATTTAAAAATAACACAAAGAAGTTTAAATAAATGACATATTTAATAATAATTTACAATAAATATACAACAAAATACAACATTGCATAAACCTTACACAATCTTTTTCTCAGTTTTACCTACATTTGAATAACTACACAGTTGTACAGTATGTAGAAAAACTGTTATTGATTTATGTTATAACAAACGTGGATTGAGTAGTTAACGGCATAAACAATTTAATAAAATTCCACCACATTATCAACTTTTTGATACCTTGATCAGCGGATTGAATAAAGTTTAATACTTTCATGCACAATTGATGCGCGAATGGTATTTGAGCTAGCACAGACTGTTGCTCCCAAAGATATAACTTCTCGATCCATGTCTTGGGTGAACTGTAAGGTTGGGTAATATCCGTTATAGTGGTGTTGACAGTTGAACCCACACCCTGTACGGTAGTGTTAGCCAACTGTCCCACTCCCCCAAGTAAACCGCCACCTAGATTCCATAAATCACCTAGCACCTATTAAAGCAAAAAATTTATTTCAACTCATTAGTACAAATTAATAAACGTTGATTATATCAAATATAAGCTTAATCAACTACTAATAATTTAATAAACACAGTTAATTTCTTAACCATATCAATAAATTACTAACCGATTGTTGGGCGTCCGGATTAGATACAGGATTAAACTTGAGATTATCGACAGGACTGGATTCAGTAGTAGACAGCCTATCGGGCGTGGATTTAGTTGGACTTTGTGTGGGACCTGAGCCCGAGAAAGATGAAACCGACCCTGATGATTCTATGGTTGGTAGCATAGGGTGTGTAACAGCAGTTGCGGTCTGTTCTAACGCCGACTCTGCGTCCTTAATTACATCACTACCAAGGTGCTCTAGCTCGCCAATCACCTAATAAATTGCATTTATTGTTTCAATATATCAAATTCTATTTTATTTATAATACAAATATTAATTCTACAACATTTATAAAATTTAATATGATAATTTATTTAATATTCATATATTCCTACCGGTAATTCAGATGTTTGTTTAGTGTCAATATTAGGCTTATTGTTTGATCCACCGTAAGGTGATTTAGTCGAGCCTTCGACAAAACTTGACTCAGATAATGATGATGATGAACTAGATGCCTGTGGTGTTTCAGTTGTGCTTGGTTGTTGGGCAGGATTTGAAAACAAGCCCAGGCCCAGATCAAACCCCGACCCTTGTTGAAACCCTAAGCCCCTGACATCCGGGCGAGACATCGCACCCAAATAAAGCCATAGAGCAGATAATATCATAAATGTAAAATTTTTATTCATTATTAATTAATTATTAAACTTAATGCGCTTAAAAACCTTTTAGTTTTAGTAAACTTAACTATATAATTTTTAAAAATGCCAATTAATTAAAATTTTTGTAATAATTATTATCGGGAAATTAATTACATTATTATTGTTATTAAGTATTTATTTATCGATATCTAACTGCAATGATGATGATTTATTGCGTACATAGTGTAGTTTGTAAATAAAATATGGTTAGATTTGTTGATGACCTGTCTCATTGTTTCATAACAGGCGTATTAAATGTAAAAAATCATTGATTACTAATAATTGTATAATTTTATGAATTAATTTAATTTGGTAAAACACACTATTACTTTTAACTATAATTAAATCTACTCTCGCGTATACTATAGAAATGTCAGACCTGTCAACACAATTACAAGAATATTCTTGAAACTCAATATACAAAAAACACATAAATCGATGCATAAAACAATTGCATTTAGCATATAATTAAACAGTTATTAAACGTAACAATTTAAATACAAATTAATAAATAAATTTTATAATAAAACGATGAATAAATACGTATTACTCGCGCTAATAGTGTCTGCAATGGCCGTCGCGTGCATCGCAATGGTGGGGGCGGACGACGGCACCGGCACTCCCGATCAGCCATCCGGTCCTTTGGCAGCCATTAAGGGCAAAATATTGGGCTTAATTAAGATATATATCAACGTCCTAATGCATTTACCCATCGCATACGTCCCTGTTATTGGCGGTATCTATAAACAAGTACTAAACACTATCGCGAGTACTCTTGGTATTAATTAACCATAATTGTTTTATTAAAGCATTGTATTAACTTTCTTTTAGAGAAATAATAAATGTTATTTATTTACGCAAATTAATTGATTTATAAATCTGTTTAAAAAATAAATATTTGCTCACTGGGTCCGTTAAATAAAATTTGTTATAATATAGTATTGTTGTTATGAATGTTAAAATAAAATTGTAAATACCAATGATTTTATTAATTACACCAATATGAAAAAGTAATATCAAAATAAAGTGTGATTTACTAAATAAATTGTTAGATAAAGAAATTGAGAGAGAGAGAGAGAGAGAGAGA